GCGACGCTGCAGAAACTGATAAGGAAGCTCTCAAGTAGGTTTCTCAGAGACAAATTCGCAGAACCCGTTTGGCAAACTGACCATCTCCATTGATTCGCACCATGTGGGATGCTATATGTTTGGATTGAAAAGAGAGAAGAGATAGCTAAGGAGAAAGGATGAAAGAAAAGAGAGATATTATTGTTTGAATGAAATCAAATGAACCTTTAATTTTCGTATAATTTTTGACAATTCTGTCTCTGCTCATCATCAACCCAGAGAGAGAGCTAGCTAGCTAGCAGTAAGGGAGGTGGACAGAATGCCAAAATGGCTATGGAACAAGGCCTCTGAGAAACCCTAGAGAGCAAAGAGAGAACTCTGAGAAGAAAGAGAGAGGGTGGTGGGTAGGTTAATTAGGTGTGTGTGAGAGAGAATATAAGAGAGAAAAGTCGATATAATTGGGTTGTATGATGAGGCTTTGAATTAAGGTGGCATTTTGTGGAAAGATTGTGTGTGTGTGTGTGTGTTTTTATTATATATATATATATATAGAGAGAGAGAGAGAGAGAGGAGACAGAAATATATAGAAGCGTGCATGGAGATGTAGGACTTGTGGGGGGTATGGTGGGAGCTACCAAACTTCTGTATGTTTTCAACACTTTGAAACTTTTCTTGTGAGAGTTCCCATGGAATTACATATCATCCTCCTGCATGCTATTTAAGCTTCAAAATATAAGTTAATTTTTATATTATCAGCATAATTAATTTTTAAATTGTCTTGAAAAGTGATTTATTGTATAAGGAATTTAAGGGGAAAAACCAGCAGACATCAAAACATTAATTTAATGAAATCTCAATTCATTTGAAGCTCTATATGAAAATAGTTCTCAAAATAATCATAGTTTTCTTTTTAAAAAATTCTGAATATTTTTAAAAGTTAACATAAACAATACAATATCTTTTAAATTAATTTTTTTTTGTAAAATAAAATTTATTTTTCATTTAAAAAAAGTTGAAACAATCAAATAATTGAATAGGAGGACATATAAAAACATGGGGCCACAGGAAATAACTAATAAGTGCCGGCCGAACATCGTGTTCTTTGCCTTTTGCATACTCTTCTACATATAAGTTAATTCTACATTATTTTGCATACCAATATTTCTATTAAATTGATAAAAAAATTTTATATTTGCACTTGTTAAAAAAGTTATTAAAAAAATATATTGTATTTTTTTTATCATATACTTTTTATTGTATTCAATAGGAATAAAATTAAAAAAAATTATCAATTAATCACCTTAGACTTATATGTAAGACCAAACTTTTTTCTATAAATAACTCACAGGAAAGGCCAAAGTGGCAAGGTTTTGGCGTCCTTCTTCAGTTACCAGATAAATATCCCCTCCATTCCTCTAATTGCCTCATTATTTTTTTTTTTTAAAAAAAGTAGGCTGGCTTATTAATTTTATCCGGAAATAAAATATTTTTCAACTTTGTTCGTGTGTTTTTTACTCTAAGTATCTAATTTCTTATAAAATTCAAGTGATTTCTAACACCGTCTTTGTAAACTATACTAAATTTCAACATTCTATTAGTTTTTACCTATGCTTACTATTCTTATTAAATATGAGCATATATAAAAAAAATTAATATTCTTTAAAATTATCAAGGGCATCAAGAAAAGCTTCTAGAAAATGCCTTACAATCTTGATAATATTTGAAAAGTGTTTGTTAGAGACAGATTCAGTAGTTTATATCATCTTCTGTCCTTAATACAAATGCAAATTAAGAGGTAGATTTAATTTTAAATATAAGATATTAATCTATTTTATCTTTCAAATTTATAATTTTGTTTATAAAATATTCTTGTTGATTGTAAATGATTCCACCAGGAGTAGTTCTAATGTATATGATCGAAAAGAGTAGTTTAAGAAAGTTAATATAAATTTGTTATAAATAACTAATTTAATTAGTTTTGTTTAATATGTCTAAATTTAGTTAGCTCTTGTATTAAAGATGGGTAAAATTATACTATCTTCGGTCCTAATTATAAAACTTCATTTATAGACTATAAATGAGGTATTATAATTAGGCGAGAGTAGAAGACTGGAGTTAGTAGATAACAATTTTTTTCCCAAAAGACACCCTATGTTTAGAATTGGAGGAATTATAAATAAATAGAGAGACTTTGGTGTCCTTAGTGTAGACAGGCAGTACGACTAGGAATGGGACGCCATGGCCATGGGCCAGCTGCTACTTTTTTCCCCTCCCATGCAATTGGCACTATTTTTAACTTTTTAAAGGATCTGATTTATCATCTTACGTTCTTTTCTTTTCTTTCTATGGAAAAAAAAGAGAGAGAGAAATAACAATCCCGGACCCTGCTAAGCCATTGATTTTAATTGGAGACCTCTAATTATTGAAATTTCATTAAAAAGATTATGGTCTATGTCTAGGATTAAAAACTTGAATTGACAAAATTGCCCTTCTATGTGTATAACCTTGGACTGCTAGAATCACATAACATTAATTGTGAATTCCAAATAAGACACATGTGAAAACTAGATGATCCATGAGATTGCTCTTAATCTGCAAGTCTTGTGTAGCCCAAATATTCTTTTAATTAGTGAAAACACAGGGGTCTTCAGTTCAAGTTTTTCTTTGGAGAAGTAAAGACTACAAAGATCAATTATTTTTTTGGATTTGTTTTTGGGCAGCACCTTCAAAACCACCGCTTTCAGGCAATCAAATTTGGAAGGATATATTTTTCTTTTTATCTTGTTTTAAGGAATGCAATTCTAAGGTAGTATCTTATTCTTCTTTATTGAATTTCACTCAGGATAACTGTTACTCTATCTGCTTTGTAGCCTTGCGACCCATTCTCATTTTAATGATATTTTGACTTTTTAACCAAAAAAATTAGTGAAAACGCAGATTGAAGTATCAGAAAATTTCAGCATCAAGTAAAGAGAGAGAGAGAATATGGCTTCTTTTTGAAGAAGGGAGGGTCAATGTATGAAACTATGCATGTGGTGTGCTTTTGAGCAAAAGAAGATGCAGAGCATGCTGTCTGTGTCTCCCACTTTCTTTTTGTCAACTCCATTTTCCCCCCCCCCTCCCCATGAAGGCCTAGGTGAAAAAACAAAACAAAATTAATAGCCATGCCAAAAGTATTATGTATATATAATAATTAATATAATTTTAAATTTTAACTTGGTCAGAGTCAGGGATGCATAATGATAAGCTAAGGAGCTATTGGAAGAAGTGCTCAATGCTTGCCTGAGGTTAAGGGTTTTAATAGCATAAAAATTATGTACCCTTCATGATTTATTAGGCTCCCTATTAATACACCCTTAATTCTACGCACATCATAGCAGGCTTCTGTTTGCTCCCCAACAAAGCCCTTATTCCCCGTAGGTATGTGACTCTTTGGTTCACCTTTCATGTCCGTCGCTATCTTCTTCCTTTCGTTGCTGCTGCCTGCTGTGTTTTATAAGAAGGTGGTTCCATCTCCTCCTCCTCTAATCTCTCTCTCTCACACACACAACACACACACACACACACACACACACATCTATAGGGGGAGAGAGACATATGGCTTTACATTCCTCTCCTCCACTGCTCAAGAGGGTAGCAAAGCTCACTGCCAATATTTTAGGGCGTTGAAACGGAGGAGAATAGGGACCGAGGTACAATATATATATATATATATATATTTTGGAAAAATAATAAATAAAGACCCTTGAATTACCAAAATCATGCAGAGGTCGCCTAAATAAACAAAATTACCATGAAGGATCCAGTCCTATATTGTAAATACGAAATCTTAATGAGATGTTTGAAACGCCCTCAGTCAAGTTGTCATTGGGTCTATTGAAGTTTTCATTTGTTAAAGTAAACTTGTTATTTCTTATAGTCAACTTGTCATTTGGTATACCTTCAACCAAATTGTGATTTGATCTACTGAAATTATTTCATTAAAGTGAACATATCATTTCTTATAGTCAACTTGTCATTTGGCTGAAGGGTATTTCAGACATTTCACCAAGATTTCATATTTGTAATATGAGATTGGGTCCTTCATGATAATTTTGCTTATTCAGGTGACCTCTGCATAATTTTAGTAATTCAAAGGTCTTTATTTGTGATATTTTCTTTTTTTGGGCTAAAAGACTAAGTCACAATAAGTTAAAATTGACCAAGTGATTAATTTTCTTATTTTTTAATTTGGATTCACGTATCATTTTGTTTCTTTATGCTACTTAAGTAGTTAAGTTAATTATTTAATTGGTTTCCCTGAAACACCTTTTTTAATCATTTGTATTGAAAACTATTCTCTCCTTAATATGTATAATTAATATGAAAAGTTAAAAAAAATTTATAAATTTAAAAGAGAGAATAAATTAAAATTTTATATTTAAAATCAAACTAACCATTCTATTAGCTTTTATATTTAAAAGCAAAGCACGTGGAAGCCTTTAATTGAGACAGAATTAAGAAGGTTTATTTGTAATTTATTTTTAAACGTAAACCTGAATAAAGGATAATAGTATATACTCTCATAATATGCAATTCTATCCCCTGTTATTTTTCACCCGTCGCTGTTTACGAGTGGAGTCAAAAGATCATAGGGATGAGGATCGAGAAGTTTTGCGCAAAATACAAGACTCCCATAGTGACCCGAAAAAAAATACAAAGAGGGGAAAAAAAAAAAAAAAAAAAGCCCTACCGGGTGTACTCCTAACAACTTAATCAGGGGTTGGACACTCCCACAAATAGAGTGGGTTGGGTTTGATGCCTAAACTAGTCGAGATGCTGGGAAAGACATATTCACAGTTTAGTGAAGTTGAAAAATTCCTGCACCAGCAAAAACAAGAGTTTGCTTGTCATGTTCCTGTCCTGGACTCATAAGAATAGGCCTTAGCGGATCTTGAATTAGTTCCCCTATCTAGATCGTAGGTGAACTCGACCATTTTCTTAAAATTTTTGAAGCGAAAAAAAAAAAAAAACATTCTTTCCTAGAAGTGATGATTATTTCCCCAGATGACCGACGCTGAAATTACCGAGCGATTTTTCTCTTTTGAGAAACCAAGCCAAAAAAAAAAAAAAAGCTTATTCTTTCCCTTTTGTACCTCCTCGTTTTATAAGCTGTATCTATTCTTTTACTTCTGTAAAGAGTTTATAAAATTCGTACGCTTCTACGAATATGCAAGATCAAGAAAACCATATTTACGTCCTGCGTAGCTATCAGCTACCAAGACCTACATACTACTTCTATATTCCCCCTTTTTGGGTTTTTTGATCTGATGTTCTCTTCAAAGGATTTAAAACAAGCTCCTTTGCTAATCAGCAATCTCCAATAGGACTAGCGATCTCCACAGTGATTCAATGCTGTTGTTATGCTGTTTCATTCAAGCCACAGGAACATTATCTTGCAGTGTCTTTTCAACTGGATTCTCTAATGCCCACACAGCTGCATCGAGATATCCAAGCTCAAAGAGCTGGTCAAGGATTTCATCATCTGCTGGCTCGAGTGCCCAATTGAATAGCTGAAATAATTTCAAAGCATCACTTTCATTGCCCCATTGAGTGGCTAAAGTTCCTTATGAGTCAGCAATCCAATCCAAATATAACACATCAAAGTTCATTTACAATTCAGCTTCGCACTATTGGTCCTTTCAGAATAGCTCGGTCACATATTAAAATGGACCAGACTTGCATACAGTTCCTTATATATGATTATTTATCTTAGCATCATAATCAATCAATATCAGGCTATTCAGTTAAAACAGAAGTGTATGATTCTCTAGTAATAACATGAAAGGCGCATGATTTAAATTAAAAAAATACAAGTGTCTGCATAAATTATACACCTACACGTTCTGATTAGAAAACCTAATAATAATTATACAAGAAAGCGCATTTAATTTTTGTTCCAATTACAATTCTATAAAAGAACCTGATAGCAGACACTCAAGAATTGCACAGTTTATTCATTCACCGAAAAAAGAAAAAAAAAGAAAGAACTGCATGATTACCTGACGAGGACTAGCTCTGTTTTCAGGATTGCAGTCTGGACTGATCCCTATGCCTTGCAGTCCCAATCGGCTTGATGGGAAAGCACAAACACGAACCTATAGAAGCAAAAAGAACTTTATTGAGGTAGAAATTTGACCATAGATATGGCATATCATAACTATGTTCAATCATTTTTGGAATAAATACTGAAAACTATTGATGTTAACCATAAACCGGCACAAAGTAAGAATCATAACAGGCAGGAAATGAACTTACCCGATTGAACCTCACATAAAGTATTTTGGATATGTTCAATTGCGTAGTCATATTAATTTAATATTTTTTCTTTATAAAAAAAAATTAATTTAATATTTTATACTGCACTTAATTTCAGGTTAAAAATAAATAATCATTCGGATGAATCTAAAGATTTCAACTAGTACATTAAGTCATTGATATACCGTTTGTGCAGCAGATGTTGGTGGCATAAACAATGTCAACCCCCCATCAATGCATAGGCGATTTCTAAAAAGTGTTGCTGGCCTTGGTGCAAGATATCTGAAGAGCGACATGGATCTTATTAACTTAATTTCCTTAATAATTTATGATCATGGATGGGGCCATAATACACGAATCAAAGTGAAATAGTATACTAACAAATCACCCTGGAATAAAGGAAGAAGTAAAAACAGCATTGATGAGATCTTCCTTGGAATCAAACTGATCTACCAATAAACCCCTGGGTCTCCAAAGAAGTTGTGTCACAGCAACTGCAACAGAAGAAGCAATGAAATAAGAAACAGTAAAACTTAATATAATCCTAGGGGAGAAGCCATCATTTGTATGTTCATTAAACAAATGAAGCTCACAGCATCACTCATTTCAGTACGAATTCTTCTGTTGAAAAAAAAAAAAAAAAAAAAAAGGAACTTCCAAGTGACCAGTCTTACCTCTAATTCTCCCATTAGATCTGACATGAGTGTCATCTGGCAAAAAGTTTTCAAGAACATTGCGGAGAACCGCCTATGCAGAACAAAATTTGAACCATAAGTGAAATTTGAGCTTACAAAAAGAATATCACCCACAATCACACATGCTACAATTGATGTTAACCTCAAATTAACTTCTCATCATGGATATTAATTTTATTCAATTTTCACAACATAAAGATACAAAGCTCATAGGATCATTCTTCCATTTGTCCAAACAAACACACTATTATATGAACATATTGAAGTGGGTTTTTCTATTTCTCCATCCTGAAAGAATTTATCATTAATCAAAAGTCGTGTAAACAGAGACAATAGTGAAATAGCAGGTCAGAAAACTGCGGCAATCAGCATTCCTACAGAATCTTATTATTGGTAAGGCCCCACAGAATTTCTGCTTCAACGAATGAGAGAAAAGGCGCCAAAAAGATAAGGGACGGTAAAATAAGAAAAGAACTCACAGGGCAATAACATGATATTCCCAAGCCCTGCCTTGGTGCAAATTTCATAGAGAGAACATATTTTTTGTTACTTAATTAGTCCCTCAAAATTTGGAGCTTTAGGGACTAATGAATACCAAGGAAAAAAAAAATTAAATTAGTCATGATTGTGTAAGTAAAATTTAAAATTCAAATAATTGATACCTAAATCCTCCAGGGGCAAAACATAACATTTCGACATTATCTAATATGTCATCTATAGCAATTCTCAGAAACAACATAGACTAATTAGTTTCGTCATTGATCAATAAAATGCTCCACAAAAAGAATTTTATATTGTTTTTGGTTACTTATAGATAGGACTGTATATATATATACACACACACTATATATATTTGGATTAAAAGCATACCCCCAGCCGAAATGCAGTTCCCTGGCTCCGACAATCTTCAGCCAATATTTTGGTAGCTTCCAGGGCCTCTTCCATACTAGCACCAGAGGCAATTACAGCACAGACTATAGCTCCGGCAGAGGAACCAGCCAATGGCGTGGTTTCCTGCTTCAATAAATAAACCGAATAAGTCTTCATTTAAGAGTGGTATGATAAATAAACTTGCAGATTAAGCTGGAATAAAACAAATAATGCCAAGAGATGTGGCATCGAGCATGACCACTGCAACTAAACAATGCACATCACTTATCATTGTAGCGTAGAATACGAAGCACATCAGAAATCGTTAAAACAATTCTAAAACGGAGGATTATCAAGCACCAAAAGTTTTCATTACCACTAATATTCGTATGAAATAGATAAACTTTTAGACCTTGTCGCAAACTTCTAATTGGGAATGGAAACTGTGGAGTCACAAATATTCTATCTCGAAAATATAAGAAAAAATTAAGTGACAAAATAACAGTAACATTGGGGCTGGCGTCCTAAACCCGAAATTAATTGTCCACCTTAATGTAGCCCTTCTCAATGAGAAATTTCGCCACTCCAAGATGATAAGGAAACAAAAGCCCAGCTGCCGAGAAGCTAAACCCAGGGCTAGTGATTATGCGCCTTCCCCGCTCAGCCTCAACATCCTCAATCCTCTGCTCCCACACGACCCCAGGCTCAACTTCATCCTCAATCACCGCTCCAATCCGCTCCTCGTAAAATGCTCCTTTCTTGGTTGAACTCTCAAACATGGTCACAGAGCCAGAATCGCCAACAACAGTGTTGCTACTCCGGCGATTAATCAGTCGCGAAGCAATGCTCAAGAAAATCTCCCCCGTGGCTACGGCGAATGATTTTTTCTCAGAGGAAGGTGGCGGAGGAGTGGCGGAGTTTTCGAGCTTACGCGGGGGCAAGGAATTGACGGTGAAGCTGAGCGTTGAGGTGCGAGGGGGGAGAAGGAGAAGGGAATTAGGGTTGGGGTTACGGAGAGGGGAGGGAAAGCGCACGGAGGAGAAAGGAGAGAAGGAGGAAGCCATGAAGGAAGGAGGGGAGAGGGCTCCTTCTTCGGCTTCTCCGCTGGGATATGACTGTGAGCGGAAGAAGAAGAAGCATAGTTAACGGTCTATGAGATCGATGACGAAAATATGAACGAAATTAGTTTGTTGTTTGGAGAACAGTTTGGGTGCTCCGCTGGGGATGACCACCATTGCGTTCATCCCCTAAACGCATCGTTTAGCTCATTCGCTTCTCTCACCATCTTCTCCGGCTCCAGCTCCTCCACCACCGACAGCCTCTTTAGCAAGCCAAATTAAAACAAGGACTGATTATGTTTAAAAACATGTTTTAACCAAAATAATTAACATTATTATTAGAATATCGGACCCAAAAAATTACAATTTTTGTTAGAATAATAATTTCGTCCTTTTAAACCGTCATTAGGACAATGGCCTTAATTATTAACTAACCAGTATTAGAAAGCGTCGGACCCTTGGTCTGTAATTAACGGTCTAGGCGGGCATATCGTTGCCAGAAACATTTTTGTTTTGAGTTTTAGAAGCAAAAAATTCATGAGATTTCAAATTAACGAGAGAAAGATTATCAATTTAGTGGACAGTAAAAGATAATTTTCAATTACTAATTTGGGTTTACTTATCTTAAATACTTCCATCCAACTCATAAGGGAGTATTGTTCATGGTGTAAAGAGGGAAACCTAAGAACAAATTTTTTTCGCCCCCATTTTTCCTTTTTTTTTGGGGGGGGGGGGTTGCACATGAACATTTTATTTTTTAAATACATATGAACAAAATTTAACCAAACACATGTGCGTACATACCCACAAATATGAAAATAAAACAACTGTGCTACCAACTGCTAGAGTCAATACATCAAAGAGGGACTCTGTAGGATGGATCCACCATTTTCAGAATGAACAAGTTCCCTCTATTACCTCTTGTTATCCTGTGCAGAAGAAGGATATTCAGATTCCAAAATAAGCAAAGACAGTTCAGAAGACTACAAAGTAATGGAAAGTCATAGCTATACGCACTTAAGCTGGACAGTTCAGAAGACGACAAAGTAATGGAAAGTCATAACACGCACTTAAGCTGTCTTGAAAAACTAGCAATTGTTGACTATCATATGGGGACTAACGATCTAATTGAAAAATTGGGGTGATTAGGGTTTAAATTAAGAATTTGAACCTACAGTTCTGTTAGTTTGGTTATTACTATCTC